TCCAACTAGCGGGACTGGCCTGAGGGATTTTAAAGGGGGTTTTAATTACTTTTAAATTGGACATATTTAAATATTTCGTTTTAATCAAATTTTAATTAAGTATGTATATATGTTAGTATTTTATTCAATTGTCAGCCGCCCTGAGTCCGTAAGGAGAAGGGCGGGATATAAATGCAATTAATAAATAAATAATAAATAATAAATAAATAAAATAAATAATACATATACCTGGAGTTTTCTTGCCTTTTGCTATTGCAGATTTCATTTTTTAACTTACATCTTTTATTTGGCACTTCTTTGATTGGTGGAAATATACATAATTGTATGCTTGTTGTTTGGTTTCTTGTTATGCATATTTTAGATACCTTGAATACCCTAAACGTCCTGAATATATCCTCTGAATAAAAAGAGCTCATATACACCTAAAAGCTTATCTGCCCCATTGATTTAAGTGACTGTTCTCTAAAGTCAGGAAAGTCTATCTCTGTTTGTTATGGAGTTCCAGTTCATGCAAGATAATCATAAAAGAAAATTCGGTTCCCTCAGTATCAACACTGCATATGGAATTTTCTAGATCCTGGCTAATAAGTTTCATTCAAATTTTTCAAATATAGATAAAGTCTGAAATAAATTTTCAGTAAAAGCATGCTTTATTTTAATATTACTGTTGCTTTGAAACAATTATTAGCTTCGATATGCTCATAAGCTAATGATTGATAATATTTTTTTACTTGTACAGTAAAATATTTAGCAGTTCTCTATTATAGCTTGGAATTAATGAGGGATAATTGGTCATACCAGAATTCACAATAGGTCAAGTTATAATAAATGTTGTTTGTTTTCATATAGAAATATATTTACCTGCTGCTTAGATATTGTTATATATAGGACGGTTTATAATTTGTATGTAACTATTACATAACTATAGATGTCTGTACAATTCATGAGTAATGTAATATAGGAATATCCGCCATGTTTCTTCTCTTTATTCTTATTCTACAAGTATGAAGCCCTGTAATTTCTTCCCAGCTCCAGATAATTGCTGGCCCTCTGTTCTGGCCCTCTATTGTTTTGGGGAAAATATAAAAAGTTGGGAATGTATTTATTTTATTTATTTATTTGTATCCTGCCTTTATTATTTTTACAAATAACTTAATACTGCCTATTCTTTGAAATGTACCTGTGGGAGACTCAAACAATCAAATACATTATTAGATTATTAGAATAAATCAAAATTCTTATTCAAGCTTCATCAAACAACTGCCTCTCATAATATATTTTAATTTTGTCAGAATCCCCTGAAGATGTGGCTCCAACAGTTGGCTTTTCTAAAATTGATCTTAAACAACGATGGTTTGAAGTAACAATTTTTGACTTAGGAGGTGGAAAACGTATCCGGGGCATTTGGAAAAATTACTACGCTGAATCCTATGGAGTAATATTTGTTGTGGATTCAAGTGATGTGGAAAGAATGGAAGAGACAAAAGAAACAATCTCAGAAGTTCTAAGACATCCCAAGATATCAGGGAAACCTGTATTGGTGTAAGTAACATAAATTAAAAGATATTTAAATATTATATATTGAAAATGATTGTACTACTGTTGAAATACTTAGAAATAATAGGAAAATTGTATTACATAAATAAAGCCCATAATGGTTCTATGTATTCTTTTTTATATGCTAGTTTTTATATGGTACGATTATTATAACTATTTTATTTTTAACTATTAATGATTGATGCAGTATTAAAATATAAATGGTCTATTAAAATATCATTAAAGAGATATGCATGCCCAACACCAGAGGGTGCAATTGATGCATTCTAAATATTATTAACTTCTGAGAACTGACATTATCAAACAATCTAAAAAAATAACCATATGTTAAGATGGTTCTTATTGGATAGAATTTTCAAAGAAATATTGTGATGCATAATATTTTCTCATAAATGTTCTTAATAGAAAAGCCCTTACAAGGTTGCAACGTTTCGAACTTTTCTATAGTGCATTTGTAGAAAGAAGGGCATTTTTAAAATGGTGTCTTCTGTATTTTGCTATAGGTTGACAGATTTCATTTCTTTCATGTTTTATTCTTGGGTATAATATAGCAGGAAATTTGGGTTATATAATAACATTGAGACATAGGCTCTTTAGTTCATGTTGCTGCAGAATTTATTTGCAAATACTAAATTGCTCCGGAAAATATTTGTATCCCAGAAGAACTCTCATTATTTGCAATGGAAAATTTGTACCCATTGTATCCATAAAAATAAATGTAGTCTTTTACATGTACAAATAGAATCTTCTTATCTGAAGCGTTTTGGTTGGCAGTCTCGGCACTGACATTCCTTACTGTTAATGTGTGTCTATGTGCTTGTATCTAATTCTGAGAAACATTTTTAGTTTGAAAATATTTAAATATATAGTTATATGTGGTTTAAATAATGAAGCAGAATTGATGAATAATTCGAATGACTTGCTGTGAAAACTGTTTATGTTGACTGATTATTTAGGAAAGCAGCCATACTAGCTATGTTGCTGAAAATTGGTTCAACAACATGAAGAAGGATTTCAAGCCCTCCCTTATAATATAAGTTAACTGCATTTTCCTTATACCACTCTAGATTTTGATGTTTACTACCTCAGTAATTCCAGAATGTTAAAAGCAGTGGGTATTCACCAAAAGTTTTTAAAAGTAAAACAAACTAAACTAAACACTAACTTATTAGTGGAGTAATTCCTAAGCTGAGGTATAGTTTAGCTGTACCCGTACCTTTTGTGCCACGGTTGTGATTAAATAGGCTATAGGCCTATTATATAATGCTCAGCATGCATTAGCTACCTATTGAGATTTGATAATAAGTAAACATGACCGACTTTCCACTTTTGTTGATATATCTTTAAGTGTTGTTGATTCCTGATAAAAATTCATGCCAGATTAGTGTTGAAATCCTTTAGGGCTTTTTATATTATATGTTAATGAAGGAAGTTGAGATTTAAATAGGATTTTTTCTGATAGTGTAGATAGCATGAAAGACTTGTTTGAGAACAACAATGCTTAGTCACAAATTGCTTGTATATAAATACAGATTCTAGACACAGAACTAGAACTGAGGGTGAGGGCGTTATAACTGTTAAAAATTATAATCCTTTACATTCCCAGTATTTTTTCCCAAGAAATCATGGTTAATTACTGTTCAGGTGAATTATATCTCACAATTTATAAGCCCACCCACATTCTGTAGTGCCACTCACAACATCCACAAACCCAACAACTCCGTTTTACACCCCTTCCCCCATGCTCGTTGCTTGGGACCCCACCTGTTCCCATTTCATGACCCACACGGTCCTGGGATCTTGACGACAGTCAGGATTACAGTTGCTAAACAGTGCAGCCATATGGCATCGTGTTTTATAGCTGTATTGCTTAACACTGGAAATCCCAGTTCCGATTATCATCATAATCATAAACTATAATGTTGTTATAGTTTAGCATGAAGTGACAATCCAGTCTTTGTAATATACTTCACAAACCATTGTTAAAAGAAAAAAAAGTCTGTGATGGTAGGCTTAATTTTTCTATTGAGTTAAACAACTCTCATTTTTATATAATACTAAAGAGGTTAAAAGCGTTTTACATTGTACTAGAAAAACAGCCGTTACAACTATGTTTACAAATAAGACGTTGTAGTAGCAATATTGTCTGCTTGAAAGAAAACAGTGAAGTATAACAGGTAGAATGAAGCAGAGCAATGACAGGGACGACATACATTTCTTTCCTAGACCAGCACTAGGTTACTTTCTGAGCAGCTCCTTATCTTTTTCTCTCTCTATCTAGCATTCTGTCATGAATAGTGAGCCTTGCTTAGCTGGTTTTTCTTATGCCACTCCCTTTAAAGTATGTCCACTCAGCATTTATTTATGTTACAAGACATAGGAAGAGCACAGCTTTTTTTCTTTTGCAGTTGGTTAAAAATGGCCTCTTGTGCTTTTGACTATGTCAGTTATATACAACTGCACATTGTTCATTGTTGCATTTATTTCTTTATCTTGGTGGAGGATTTTTTTTTGAGGGGGGTGGATTTTGCATGAGACTTAACAATTGGTGATTTGGGAACATTTTGGCAAGTAATTTGTCATTGCCTTCTTCCTAGGGCTGAAAGAAATATTGGGCTAAAGTCATCCAACTGGCCTATTTCTAAGGCAAGACTAAAACTCTGCTCTCTCAATTTTGGGCCTTTAAGCACTACACCAAACTAATTGTGTTGTGTATTAGAGAAGAAAATATAGCAAATAACTATCAATAATTATACATAGTATCACAAGATACTATGTATTTTAGTATTTTTCATAGGCCAATGTTTGAATCATTTCTATCACCTATCAGCACATTGTTTTCTGTGTCATTTGGGAAAGACAAAGACAGTTTATATGGAACAATCTGTTTTTTAGTAAAGTGTCCCCAGATGTATGATGCAGCATCTTTTTTTCTCCCTGTTTTTTCCAATATATATCATGTAAACCAAATTTTTTTTTTCAGGCACAATTAGATAAAACCCTTTTGCTTTAAACATAGAAATCTTCCTGAATAACACATACCGTATATACTCGAGTATAAGTCGACCCGAGTATAAGCCGAGGGACCGATTTTCCCACAGAGAACTGGGAAAAATTGGTGACCCGCGCATAAGCCGAGGGGGCATTTTGGCTGTTCCTCCCTGGCCGCCGCCCCACCCCCGCCGCCCCACCCCCGCNACTCGAGTATAAGTCGACCCGAGTATAAGCCGAGGGACCGATTTTCCCACAGAGAACTGCCGCCCCACCCCCGCCGCCACCGCCGCCGCTGACTCGAGTATAAGCCGAGGGGGGCATTTTTCAGCCCCAAAAATGGGCTGAAAAACTCGGCTTATACTCGAGTATATACGGTAATCTTTTCCACTACACTGTTGCCAAAACTGTTTCTTCAAATGATTTTAAATTAGAAGGCTGCATTAATCTGAGGAAGATATTGTTTGTAAAAATATTAATATGAAGTTTATTGGCTAGGTTGGTCTGGCAAACCTGTCTGGTTAGTACTGACTTTTATGTGCAGGTAATAACTCTTTTTTATAAATTGAAGATTTGGAAACAATTGTTAAGAGTCAAAAAACATCACCAGCTACTGGGGATTATTTCATGCTTTATTTTTTTTTAGGCTCTTTGTGATAAGTCTCAAGTTTAAATGCCAAAATGTGTTATGAATGAATTATTTTAAATGTGTGAAATTCATACTTATTCTCCTGCCTTCTAAATGTCCTCTGTTTTCAGACTTTATTGATGGCTTGTGTAAAGTCAGAATTCCTTTAGTCACATAATTGGGAATCTGTTATTTAATTTTAAAAAATAGCCTGAATTATTGTTTTTGAATTTTAATGACAAAGATTATATATTGTACACTATTGTAGGCAAACAGGAATTTTCATTTTTATACAAGTGAGAATATGTTAGTGATATGTTAGTAAGACTGTCCAAAATTTATTCTTTAAATGGAAATTAGTTCCTTGCTTGCTTGCTTTCTGTTCCCATATTAGTAGTGGTAAAAACATATACCTTAATCACAATTTTTATTTGTTTGTTTATTCTGAGGTCAAAATGTAAACTGAAACTGATTTGAATGTAGACTGTAGCTTTGTCACTTTTTTAAAAAGCGTTTTTCTTTGTAAACCTTACGAAACACAAATAAACTCTGCAGTTAGGAACTTAATGTTTGTAATAGTTGTATATTTGGCTATTATTAACATTTTTAATTATCTTGCACAACAATAAAAAAGATCTCATTTACAGTAATAATTGTCTTCAATGCTGTTAATAACATTTCCTAGTTTTCTTCTGTTTCTGTTTTCTACCTATTTACAAGCCTGATTTACATGAGGAAAAACACAGGCTTGAACCTAAAACTGGGTTATATATTTCCCCAAAATTGATATTTTTGTTTTGTTTTGTTACAGTAATCCAATGAAGAATTCTATTTTTGTTTTTGGAGCAAAGTTACATCCCTATAGCTATTTCAAAATTTTATCTAAGCCTGTTAACACCATTGTGTTTAATCAGTATGTAAACCTGATTAAATTTCCTTTTGGGTTTTTTAGGAGGAAGGGATGCTTGAGTAGTTAAGCCTCCTTTGCCTTGTATGTAGTGAACTTAAGACAGATTAATTTTAAAAGAAACCTTTTTAAAACCAAAGAAAAGGTGGATTAATAAAACTGCTGCAATATAAATTTTCAAATTTATGAAATAATTATCAATGATAATTACAGAGAAAAATAGAAAGCCTGTTCACTTTTTACCATTTCAATATTTAGTGGTTTTCCAGATTTAATTTAACCAATATTCAGGCTTCAATTTTAATTTTGATTTTAGTTATATGTTTCAGGTGTTTTTCTACATTCCTTGTAATCACAACATAAAACAATTTCTTCCTGTTCTCTGACATGTGGGTGTAATTTATTTTACTCTTTCTCATACATATATTAGAGGTTTTTATACCAGTGATACATTGGCAGTTTATGTAACAAGCAATAATTCCTTCAGGAAAAACAATATTTTATACAAACTAAATAACTAACTTTCTTGCAAAAGAAAACTTCTTGAATACAGGTAGACTTTGAGTTATGACTTTTAACAGAACCTGTTTGACAACGTTAAATGAACTGCCTCAAGTAATGACCAGCCACGAAACTTTAAAAAAAAAAATCTCTAAAAGTTGTGCAACAAAATGAAAGATGCCGGGTCTTTGCAAGCTTTAGCTGTCCACATGACTGCCTATAAAGGGCAGTCTATAATCTAGCTTTTAAGTCCTACCTGAGCTCTACAGCTCAGAATGACAGTAAAGCTTGCAAGGACCCAGCGTTCTCCAACTTTTGGAAATGACTTTTTTTTCCAGTTCAATGGAGAAAGCTGCAGAAATATTTTCTTTCCTTGGTCACTTTGTTCCTCTATTTTTCAGCTGGAGTCAAGGTAAGATTTTTAAAAGAGGTAGAGATTGGAGAGAGTAGAAGGAGAATTTAGTGGGGAGGGAAGATCAGGAAATCTATCCCTTCCAGCTTTTTCTGTTTTTATATTGAAATGTGGCTTTCAAGAGGAGAAAGGGGGGTTAAGCAAGGGAAAGGTTTTGAGAACTTCGTCCTGAAGCTGCCTTTCATGCAAAGGCCAGCTTCCAAAGCCAGGCAAGAGGCAGGAGAGCTCTGCAGCCTTCTTCTGGCTGGCTGATTGGGGGGGGGGGCAGCTGATTGGCACACAAAGCTCTGAAAGTAGCCACTAAGGAATTCTTGGGCCCCTTAAAATGGTGACTGCTTCCAGGAGGCATGGGGATCAGGCCCAAGTGCTGTAGTTCCTGTTAGGGCAGGATGGTGCTAAGGAACCGGGCTCACAATTATGATGTCACAGGGATCTGTAGTCATATGATTGCTATGGCAGGTTCTGACAAGCAAAATTAACGGGGAAGCAGTAGGAAAGATTGCAAGTCACTTGAGTAAGTCACCCTGCACATGTGGAGCCTTTGCCATTACCCCCTCATCCTCCAACTCATTTGCAACTTACACTGGGCTTCCTAATCCCTGCCCAGCCTCTCCCAACTCACTGGACCCCCAAGCTCTCCTGGGTCTCCCTCAATTCATGCTCGGTTTGTGTTGGACCTCTCAAGACATCCCCATCCTGCCCCATCCTCTCACAGCAGTCCTGCATTTGGCCTTGTAAGCTCTCCCCTGATCTCCCCCCCTTGTGCTCCTTGCCTTGGGACTCCCACCACTTCCTACATGTCTTGGGGTTATGTCTGCAACTGAGATTGCCATCGCTAAGTGATGCACTCACATGACATAGCCCTTTATGACTGCAGGAAAACCTTAGAGCATGCTGCATGCTGCATGGATGTAGGTAAGCTGGGGGATCTTAACTGGAGTGGCTTGCAATCTTCTCTGCCAGCTTTCACATTGACATTGCTTGTGGGAAGCTAGCAAGGAAGGTCACAAATATGATCACATGACATATCATGAACCGGATATCCGAGTGCTTGCTTGGATTGTAATCACATCACCACAGGGGTACTGAGATGGCTGGAACTTTGAGGATCATTTGGTAGGTCATAAATTTGATTAGTTGCTGAACAAATGGATATAAGCTGAAGACTTCTTGTATATCCTGTCTTATATTAACAGTAGGTTTGCAGTTTTTCTTTATCCAAACTACTTAAACAAAATTGCTAGGATGATGCATTTAATTCCACGGAACTTGTTTAAAATTAAATATGACAGTAGAGTAGTGCCTTTGTCTCAAACAGCTTCTTCACTGGTACCTGTGACATAATGAATTGATAATAATATTCCTTTGTGCCACATTTATGTTTTAAAGCAGCATGTAGAAAGGACAAGACAATTTCCCTTTTCACAGTTGTAGCAAGGAATTACTCAGTTAGCTACCAAAGAATAACGTTATATAGTATGTATATCAGTGGTATATTGGCAAAATCCTTGCATTTGATCCCTTTTCTTATTTTCAATGTGTAGTGAATTCTTCTCTCAGCAAATTCTGCATTGGAGAGGAAATGTGATTAAGGAAAGCAAATACCATGTGAAAAACGTACATATTCTTAGTAGTACAGCAAGCCCTATAACATGTTTGGTCCTATACAGTATTTTGTGGACCAGAACTTCAGTTTTAATTGCCCAGAGGACAAATCATTTGCAACAGGAACAGCACCAACAGCAGAGTGCTTTACATGGATTCTTTTTTCGATACTTAGCTGCCAGCCTGAACTTTTCTGTTGATATTTGGACATAATCCTGAGTATTAATGATTTCCATTTCAATGCTGTTGATCATTTCACCTTGTTCGGCTACCAAAAGTGATATTTGAAAAAAAAGGCCTCTTAAGTCTTTCACTTGATTTTCCAGATTGACCAGTTCTCGATGTCTTTGTTCAATTTCAGATAACTGGGCTTTAGTAATCTTGACCTCTGTGAGCAGATTTTCATTGAAGATTTCCCATTTCCCTTGTTCCACCATATTATTTAGTTCTTCCTCTGATACTTCTTTTCCTGCCACTTCCAGCTGACGCATAATGAAATCCTTACATTTTTCTTGTTTGTTTGTTATGGCATTATTGTACATAATCATTATATTTTGGAAACGATGGAATAGGGCTGCACACTGAGAACTGAGGACTCTTCTAATGGCAGATGATGAGCTATGTTCTTTTTCTTCCCTCTTCACTATTTTGGAAAGATCATCCAAGCCCTTATTAATGTGCTCTGCTTGAACTTTAATTGCTTTTGTATTGCTGCATTCTTTTTTAAGCACACTGAATCTTCTCATGGAAGCCATCAAACTTTTCTGCTGCCGACTAAACTTTTGAACATCCATTGCCAAACGATTAATATCATTATGAAGTTGTTGTATTTCATGCAAGTACCTTTCAGTTATCGGCTCCTTTTCAAAAATAACAGCTGCTTGTTCAAATTCTCCTTGGTCCTCTTTAATAGCATTAACAACACGGTTGTTCTCTTCAAATAATTGTAGTTCCTTTGCTCTCAGTTTAAGCTCTTGAAGGCGGTCTTTCATCTTCCGATGAATGTATTAAGGTTCAGAAGTATTAAACCCAAGTCAGCAGTGTATACCTAAGAATTAAAATCACTTTCATTAGCATTTATTAATCCACAATCATATTAGAAACATAGCAGAAACTGTTGCAAAAAATTGCCACATGGTGTAGCAGACAATTTCTTGTAGACTCTTTGTATCTATTTTAGAAAGTTGTTTCGAAAGCTATCCGGAAACTGAAATACACACTATTTTTCATATCTTAATATTGATACATTATTGTTTCCCCGCATTTTATCCTTTTTTTGGCAAATTAAAATGATCAATATATAAACTAGTATTTTAATACACCTATATTAGGGCTGTGCAGTTTTTCAATATGGGTGAGGTTGCAAATGTTCTTAGTTACAGCTTCTTAAAACGGATGTACTTTTTATTGGAATCAAGCATTTGTCTGCTGTTCCAGGTCAGTTTGTTATTGGAAACAGATGCTATGCTTGTGTTCCTAGCACCTTTTTCATTTTTAATCCAAAGAGCTGAAAAGCTCTAATATCTCTTCCATACATTCTAGAAATAAGGCCAAATACTTCTTTCCTGAAAGAGAAAGAGGTTGTCCCTTTGTCTAGCCCTGTGTTGCTCCAGTACAAATGCTCTGCAAAACCTTGGCACTTCTTCCTTTCCCCCATGACTGCAGTGTGAATGTACTTTCAATAAAATAAGATTCAGTAGCATATTATTTTTAGTAAGATATGATCATTGAGAAAAATGAAGTAATTTAAAAATAAATGGTGAATTAAAATGCAGATAAAATGATAAGTTTCAGGAGGAGCTCATTATAAAGATTGTAGCCACATCACCATCTTATTATAAGTTCTTTCTGATTTTATCATTTCATCATTCTTTTCTTTTTTCAATCCTCTCCCTCCTCCCCGCCCCCGCCCACTACCACCACCATGGTTGGTAATCATATGAATAATAAAACACTGTCCTTTGGTACATTAATGGAAACTGCTGAGCATCATAGATGACCAGATTTGAAGAGCTGAGCCAAATTATTTTCCAAACAACTGTAGTAGTTTTGCATCTCTTAAGCCGTGAGTGGTTCCCTATGGGAGAAATAAGCTGATCAAGGCAGGGAAAGGAATGAATGCTTGCAGGAACAGACACTGAATTCTCTTTCTTTTGGTTGCTTGTAAAATATTAGCCTATGTACTTCCTAAATGCCTTTACTTGGAATTAATGATCCTTACCCTTCAACTTCAAATTACTTCCAAAAGTTGTCCAAAACACCTAGCATTGGTGGCACTTTATACATCATTTTGAATAAAGACAATGTATTTGGGGGGATGTTCCTAGGAAAAATACATCACACTTCCTTCAACTACCACTTCATCTTCAGAATTGGAAAATACCTTTGCTTTAATTATAGTATTATTTGTATGATTTTTTTCCCTCTTCTTAAGATATTACCAGTCTGTATGCACTAGTTACAAATCTATGTTGTAGCATTTCTTTTTGAGAATAAGGTGCAAACAAGCAATGTTTTCTCCCTGTGATAGAAGACTGGCAAATTATGCACACCTGTGGAATCAAAAACACAGATGCATATTTCTTACAAACACAAATCTAAAGCTACAGTAAAGAATTCATCAGATTTCCTTTCAGCCAATTCACTCAGTATCTGTCAGAAAGAAAAATAGCAGTTACTCCTCTGGGGCTTAGAATATTTCTTGAAGATTCAGGAGTTTGATCCCGTGCCATCAAGAAGTACTTAAGTTCTTATTTAGTTTTAATACCTCCAGAGCACAAGCATTGGTTGGCCAATGTAAACTTAAAGTGAATCAACTGGTATGTAAAGTATTCAAATTTATGTCACAGAATGAAATGCAAAAGAAGTCACTGGAGGTGTACTTAAATTGTCTTGGCTTACAAAAACATCCAGTACAAGGTTCCCATTCATATTTTAATTAGTCTTGACAAGATTCATTTAGATGATGGTAGCCATAAAGGCCCACTGCAAATGGGCTCATGTCTGTTTGCTCTCCCTTCCACTAAAGGGAGAAACAAATGCAGTCAGTACTCCCAAACTGTCAAAAACCTAGTTTCCCAGTCAGCAGAGAAAATAAATGGTTGACTCAATTGTGCAGGTAGCAATACCGGAACACTTTTTGGGATAGAAAGAAAGAACAGATGTCCTTACTGAAAGAGTAAAGTGAAACCTGCAGAAATTAATTAGTCCAATTATGCAGTTGTCATGGTTCCAACAGATAGAGCCAAATAAATCAGAACTCTGAGGCTAGAGGCTTCCTCAAAGAACATGTTTATTGGATACAAAATATTGGCACAGCCAAAAGTGAAACCAAATCTAAAATTCCTTCCAAAGAGTTACACTATTACAAAGTCAAACTTCCCATTCCAGTACTATGCAGTCAGCTACATTTCCAAATAGAATTTCCAACCCACTAGCATAACCAACAGAATGTCCTTGGTTCCCACAGGACACAGAATTGTTTAGTCTAGCAAAAATCCTCCGTACCCCTTCCCATTTGTGTGGCAACCTAGAACGAGCAAGATGGCTGCAGCCAGGTTTGTTGTAGAGTTGACAGCAGTCACCTGGGAGTATCAATCCAGGAAAGACTCCTGATATCACATGCTTAAACATTATTGTTTAAACATCTGGAGGACATGTCCCCCACAATAGATATCATTGCCTCCCTAGAAGCATTTCCAAAAAATATCTGTCTTTCCCAATTGAAGTCAGTTGTTATCTCAAATGGTACGTCTACACTTTATCAAAGGACAAACTTAAAAGATGCTCAGCACCAGTTCCAGGTCACCAGTGACAGAGTGGCATGGAGAGTACACTACTGGAGCAAAGTGTCTCTGAGTGTTCAGAGATCCAACAGTACAAAATCCAAAATAACGTCTTACCGGTCGTCTTTGTTTAGCAATCACAGTTGTGACCGGCAACTCAGTCATTAAGAGAAATGATTGCTAATTAAAAATAATGTGATTGCAACTGTGCTTACAATTTTATTTCAGTTTCCTTTGCTTTACAGCGTCAGAAAGATATGACTCCAAAAATCTGGGTAAATCCAAACAGTGGGGAGGCTTTTCAAAACTCTTGAGGAAGCCTGATAAAAGTGCAAATATTGTAGCTCTTTTTTCCCCACTTCTCCACTCTTGGTATGCTCCCCCAATGCTGAAATAGTTAGCAAGAAGAGAATTGATGTTTTCATTTATGTTCATTGGAGACGAAGGAAGTAAGCAGATATACATTGTGAAGAAAGAGCTACCCCAGCTGTTTTCCTATTGCAGTTGTGAGGCAAACAACTGTATGTTTGCATGTAACTGATTAAGGTCTTGTCAATTTCAGGCAGCAGATGCCAGCCTGCAGAGGGTTCTAATCAACTCATTTGAGCTTGTTACATTGCAGTTAGCACATTTATGAATATACTCTGGAGAAAAGCAGCTTAGGAAGAGAAAGCTTTTGTAAGCAATGTCTCTAGTCTGGGAGTGTGGGGTGGATGGGGAAGGAAAAATGCATGTGGTAAAAGGTATACACACACACACACACACAGAGAGAGAGAGAGAGAGAGAGAGAGAGAGAGAGAGAGAGAGAGAGAGAGAGAGAGATGCTATGAGGGTTGTAAATGTGGACATTGGTTACAAAATTACTACTTCATCACTATTGTGACTGCAAATGGTCCCTGTCCTAAATGAGGACTATGTTTATAACTTTACACACACACACCATTATCAAACTTTAGCATCGGTATAAGGAATCAATAGTTTTTAGGGGGTAAGATGGCAAAAAAAAAATCAACACGCCATCAACATCTTAAATCCTCTTCAAACTCCCTATTTTTAGGGAATCTATTTTTTTCTGTGCTATTTCATCCTTACTTAGTTTAAAGGTACTATTCTTTTTAAAATATATCTTTTTATTTAATGTTGCTTTGTAATGGAGGAACAAATTATAAATGCTTTTTTGTTTTTTGTGTTTTTGCCATTTAAAAAATGATCTATAATTTCTTGAAAAGCTTTTTTTGTAACTCTGTATAGTCCTTTCTGCAATAATACAGCTTATTTTTCTTTTTGCTTACATAATCATTGCTTCTAAGTAGTATATACAGTGGATCAGAAATGTACAAATAATTTGGACCAAAAATTACCTTGGTTGTTGAATGACTTAGTGGGGTCTGAATGTCCAAACAATAAGAAGAGAAAATAGAGTTGAAACACTAAATTTAATTTAAGGCTCTCCATACCTTTTGTTTACTGTCACATTAAATTAGAATTTATAATTTAATCTGCTTTTCATGTAAAAAAATCAATACAATTTTGCAGCAACTTCTAGAGGGACTGTGATCTCTAGAGCTGAGTCTTTTGAGTATCTCGCGTTGCCCTTAAATTATGTACTCTAAAAGAAGAGAAAAATATCCAAGTATGTTCTGCCTGAGTTAGCCCAAATGTTGTTCTTTCCACAACTTTTTATTTAGAAAGTCCTTGTTGATGTTTATTACTGTACTATATGTGATCCTAATAATACAAGGTGGAGATAATTTCGCTCCCAGAGAAAGACAGCATGGTTAAGAATGAGGTGGAGTTATTGTATACAATGGCTTGCAATGAAACTAGAACAATCTAGATCAATCTGCAACAACAAACATGAGTTTTGAGTACTATATCACTGCTATATCAACATAGATGTGTGACCTATGCTAATGCTACTGGGAACAAGAAAGTAAGAGTCCTTCAAGAAGTAGAATTGTAGTGTGATATTTATTGACCAGTATTAAAAATCTGTGAATTCCCATCCCCAGGGTTGGAGGGGCGGCTTCTCTACAAATATTTTGTCTGCTGCAAAGGAGAAGTAATAATGCATTGCACTATATTTATTTAGCAGCATGCTGATAAAAATATACCTTAACAGAAAAAGAAATAATATTACTTCTTTAATAAATTTTGTTCAAATAATATACATAATTCAAAATTATGGAGGTCCTAAATTAAATTTGCATGTTAACACTGTTAGTATCCTTTGTTATAGCTGAACTGAACTGTTGAGTTTCTATATTCAGTATTTTCATGCACAGCAAATGATGTCATTGCTAGCAATGTACACATACACTCCCATTCTCATAATTCCTGTAATAAAAATGCTGAAGTTTCTCAACTGCCTGTTTAGACATTGTCTTAGTAAATCCTTAGTAAAGGATTTTTCCTTTTCAAATATGTACAATAAACATGTTACCATTCCCAAACCAAAACATGATTTAGAAGTGTGTGCACACACACACAAACACACATTTAGTGTTGTATGTGATGTAGTTAACCTCACAATCAGGTCTCTCTGTGGTCTCTGAGAATATCAGTCAATCCATTGTTCACACCACAACCTCTATTATGTATTTTTCAGTAACCCTTCAGTTTTAAAAAGGAAACTTTGTGCGAAGGAAGAATCTGGCATGCTTTCAAAAGAAACTACATTTAAAGCATTAAATACTTTTAACAAATTAGCATTTCTGTATTAAAGCAATAAATTTCTACAAACATATACAACAGAGATAACGTCACATTTAGCAGAGGGCAAACACTATTTTAAATACATATTAAATATTACATTTTCCTAATTTAAATTATTTGGTATATGATAAACACCGTACACTTACCTTCTTCCTTTTTCAGTATCGTTTTGTACTTAAGGATATCACACTTGCATTATCCATGTGTGCATACATAAAGATCTGGAATGTGATTCCCGTTTTAAAAGTTTCTGCTTGCTTAATCTCTCTAGAACTTAATTACTTAGGAAGTGTGCCTTGAAAAACCATGGATCGTGAGAGTCTTAGTTGGTTATATTGCACTGTAGTAGAAAAGCAAATTAGTTACTTTACTCCTAGAGAATCTGGTTCTGCCTGTTAGAGATACTGTACAACCTTACTTTCAAGGCAGGCCCTTTTATTCTAATGAGCCAATACCAGGAAGTGTTTCGTCTAGCTCTCTCCTTACCGTAATTTCTAGCTTATATAAAAATACCTGTTGCTTAATGCTATTGCTTTCCTAAAAATGAAGTCCCTGAACATCAAACACTTATAATGAAAACAAGGAAAACATTGAGGAAGGGGAGAATGTATTACCAAAAGTTTGTTTATGTTTTAGTGATGTTTTATTAATAATTGTTATCTTTTACTTAGCTTTGTATTTTTATTCTTTTGCTATTTGGATGTACACTATCAAAGCTTAAGCAAATATAAAAGTTTTTTTTTTTAAATAAAAGGAATATATTGTTAACGGAGAAAAACAAATTTGAAATTATTGCTGAGGTTTGAAGAGAATTATGGACTTTTCTTAAATGGTCTATGTGCAAACTGAGTTTTACTCATTTTGCTATCTGTTTGTACTTTCAGATTATTATTATATAGCTGAACCAATCCTTGACAACTGAAATGCTGTGATGTAGAGGATGTAGTACAGCACATCATTTTATTCATTTATTCAATACATAAAGTGGTGGTAGAAGGGAAAAACAATTATATGATGTTGAATTCCATATATTAATTCCATTATTGAACCATTATTAAAATTAATGAGGAAATAAACAGTTGTGAAAACTGTTGCAGATAGTGTATTGTAATGAAGTGGACAGTTCTAGGTTTTTGTTCTCTCTCTTTCTTTCTCTCTCAAATACTTCTTTGACATTAAGCTCTCTGAATAATCTGGACTTGTACTCTCATCCCAATACACTTCATAGAGTAATTATACAGATCAGCTGGAGGAAGAACAGTACATACTGTACTAAGCTGCTTAGAGGAAGAACAATTAAACTTCATTTAAACAATTATAAAAATTTTATTACAACCAAATGAAAAGACATGAAATAACTACTTGTGTGATTCTGGTATAATAGTTGCCTGGTGACAAAATAGGTAAATTTGCAAACTTACGTTTAGGGAAAAATTTACAGAGAAGCTGATGTCTTCTGTTTTGTATATCTCTAAATATAATTTCCTTTTTTTGTGCAATGCTTCTTGGTAGTCAACATCATGGTATTCTCTGTTTGTAGTCCAACAAATTTGGAAAAAAACACTGAGCTGGGGAAGGCTATTTTAGAGCAATTTAACAAAATAAGTAAAGTACAAGGAGAGCACTTTCTTTTTACTAAGCATGCTCTTGGTTCTAAATCAAATGTTTTAATGCAGATCTTGTCAGTACTATTTATCTAGACCAGGCATGTCAAACTCGTGATGTCACATGACGTTGTGCGATGTATCACGACTTTTCCCCATTGCCAGCAATGGGATGGGCGTGGTTTCAGCTTGACACATCTGGCCCGTGGGCCGGCAGTTTGACATGCCTGATCTAGACATTTGCAACCTACACTGAAAAAAATCATAACAAGTACAAGTAGGGAAGAATGTTGCCTAAATATGCTGTTTTTTTAGTTCATTTCCAAGAAATGGAAATATTGTTTTAACAATTTTAATAACTTTGCTGTGACTTATGAAAATTGATATTTTTCCTTAGAAGAACAAAAATAGGAAGATCAATCTTATCAACTATATTGTGCATAGGCTTTTCTATCTGATTTTTTTAAATCCTGGGGTTTTTCAAACATATTTCCTCCATTGAGTTGCCAACCTGTCTGTAAATAAGGGCAGCTCGGAACTTTATCATATAGGTAGATCACAAACTTGGAAATGTCTATCTGTTACCAGAACAAGACATTTTCTAAACTTACAGCTGCTTCTAAGTTTAAAACTTGCAAGAACAATATTTTTTCTTTGTAATTTAACTTTTGATTTCATAATACTTTTACTGTGACATTAGTTGTGTTATGTACAGTACACAAACACTTCTACCGCAATCTTATTTTGAAGTGAACCTAGTGAAATTTCCTGCCATAAAAAGCTCATAGGGTTGCTTTCTTACAACATAACATTGTAAGCCAGGCATGTCAAACTGCCGGCCCGCGGACTGGATGTGTCACACCGAAACTGCGCCCACCCTATTGCCGGCAATGGGGAAAAAGTCCCGATAGACCGTGCGATGTCACATGACATCGCGAGTTTGACATGCCTGTTGTAAGCCTATTGTCATCATATGATCATCAGAGTCAGACTTGGGCATTTTTACATAAATTTCACTTTCCAATATGATTCCAACGTATTTGCTTTTCAGAGAATTAGTCTAAAAAGGGCAGCATTTTAAGGAGGTGTAGATTCTAGAAAGGAAAAGCATAATAGGAAAATAATGCTTTAACTGCCTTCTGCAGAAAATTATTTGAGTTTAGTTCACCCAGGATGTGTTTGATCAAGATATAGGCTTTCTGACATTTAAGAAAAGTGAGAAAATAAATTAGTGATTTGTATTTATTCCACTGAGAAGAAACTATTAATAAATAGGCAGCAGCAATATTTCTGTTTGGCTATAAAAAATGTTTTGTGTGTGTCCTGTTATTTGTATATATTCTGCTTATCTATATTGATTTGCATTGATTTTTAACCATAGTAGGTAGCATTACCATATGTTTTATTTGATCTTTTTTCCCCTTAGATTAGCAAATAAACAAGACAAAGAAGGTGCCTTGGCAGAAGCAGATGTGATTGAATATTTATCTCTTGAAAAGCTTGTCAATGAGCACAAATGCTTCTGTCAGATTGTAAGTGCATTTTAAATACAATTAATTTTCTTAGATATGTTGCTTGGCAAAATTTTGAAATAAAATTATGCAATTCTATCACTTTATTTTTCTCTATATCATATGTCTTTTTATGTCTGATTAGTGGTGGCCATGAGAAAGTTGATTTGGTTGCTTATTACCTGGATGATAAGCAAATTTCAGAATGTCATTTCTCAGAAAAGTGTTAATGGAATATCAGTCTCTGTAATATCAGCTTACTTTTTTTAAAGCATTGAATTTTCTGATGAAGCCTAATATTCAGGTACTACTATCTATTGTTGGTTCATAAACAGGGAAGGTTAATCAGTTCAGCCTTTTTAAAATTGTCTGGTCTGTTATGGAGCCACAACTTCCTATAAAGTTATCAAAAAAATTGCATGGACCTGTCATCAGAAGCTAAGATTGATTTGAAAGACCATAACAGCAGCAACAACATGCTATGGAAATACACGTTTCTGTTATATTTTCTTTCATTGACTAATAAAATGAAGAACTATCACATTGACTGGGGAAGGAAGACCGTTCTTGACTGATACGCCAACATTCTCCATATGAATGTTTCCTTCCCCATATAAATGTTTTCTGTAAGCATCAAGTGTCATTTCACTTGTGTTGAAATCATAGGAGTAGGGCTGCCAGGCACAACTGAATGTACCAGTGCAAGCCCTCCCAAATATTCCTTGAACCTATGATAGGTTTGTCTTAAGCTCTTCTTTCCATATGGTATTCTTGAGAGATGCAGATGTCAAGTATACTGTCCCCTCAATAGTGGTGCATTGGATTGATAGAATACAATTGCATTAATTCTTCTGTTTTTAATATTATATTAATAATTATAAGCTAGAGTTTCTGAAAATGGAGCAGGGTTTCTGAAAATAGAGCAGCATATACATTGAAGTATTAACTTCAGCTGCTTCAGCAGTTGAAATAGCTAATTTTTGAATGAATGAAAGAATAATTAACAAATAAATTACAAATTGTGCTTATTTTCAAATGTATATTACAGATTTGGGATTTGCAGATACATCCAGATTAATAAATGATAATGTAATTTGTTCTTGTTTCAGTTTATTTATGTAACATAAAATATTCATTTCAGTTCTAAATATGCTTTTTATTCACTTAGATTAATACGAAAACTAAATGAGTTATGGTGACAGAAAGAATGCTGCTAAAAAAACAAGGAAAAATCAGAATTCTCCGAAATATACTTAAGATTTTCTGTTTTATTATCGTAAAGTACCATTTTGTTGAATCTGGAAGTAATGAAACATAATAGACAAAGCTTTATGGATTTCTTTTTTAAAAAAATGAAGGGATAGGGAGACCTATGGAGATAAAAAGTAGATACTCTAGTTAGTTTAATGGACACAGGATGCTAAATATCTGCAGAAGTAGACCAAGAAGGAATAGAATGAAATAATCAAAAGGAAGATACTAAATTATTGTAGAAACAAAATAGAACAAAGTAACAAAAAAGGTTTCAGAGATGGACTACTGCAGAATGTAATGTTTTGTGGCAGAACATTTGTTTCATTCTTGGAAAATTAAATCTTGATTTAACTGTTCTCGTCTTAAAAAGTTAGAATTTCAAGACAAGAAATTCTTGTGGGAGTTTATTGAAAGCAGCAACAGTTTTTGAAAAGTAATTTTCAGAACATAGAGGCAAATCTGAATCTACATGCCTCTGGAAAGCTATGTTAATACATAGCGAGTGAGATGGAATAATTGGATGGGTCAAAATATGAACAAGTTATCATTGTCAAGTGTGCTGCAAAGTCATTTTCAGACATTTTCAGTGAGTTCATAACTTATTGTTCAATTTCATATTAATATAAGGGTAGTGCTGATTTTTCCATTGGTTATAGGAGCCTTGTTCTGCTATTGTGGGCTATGGAAGAAAAATTGACAAATCGATAAAGAAAGGTTTACTTTGGCTATTACACACTATAGCAAAAGATTTTGATGCCTTACATGAAAGAATTCAGAAAGACATCACAGAACAAAAAGCCATTGAAGAACAAGAGAAAAGAGAACGAGCAGAAAGAGTGAGGAAGATAAGGAAAGAAAGGTAGGTAGAGTAAATCATCTTTAATTTACATGAAACATTTTATAGTACATTACAGATTGGATTTCAAGGTACTGTACAGCAAAGACAATATGACAGATCTAAAATGTAATACACTCAGTAATGGGTTTTCATATTAGACATGATATGACATAGTGAAAGGTGTTAATAGTGATCATCTACTAAGAATGACATTTCCATTCTGACCATTGTTTATTCAAGGCAAGCAATAAGATCCAGAATCATACCTGGTGCTCATCAGCTTTGTTGAACCCTAAGACAGTTTTGTCATTGGCTAGAAATTATGGGCTTTAACACCATACTTTGTGGATGCCTGGTTGGGGAAAGTTAGTTTAGATACTCTGAAGGATTTGTAAAAGTGGGTACTTCAGATTGGTAGAAAGAGAAAAATGCATTTTTCCTACAGTATAGCTACTGTGGTTAATCTTTATTAATATTTTCTCATTTCATGCTAACTTTGAGTAATTTGTCCCAGATTCTGAGAGAGCATGCAGAATTTGTCATAATTTGATATTATATTTGAATTATAGCCAAAAAAGAAAGCAACTTACCATCTATACGTTCAACTTTTGATGGAAATATTTAGTTACAAATGTTTGTTTTTAACAATTTAATACATGTGTTAACTTGTTCAGATGGAGTTTAAAAAAGGCTACGTCTGCCACTTCTAGCAGGAAAACTTAATACTTCTTTCTAGCCAGTGGATAGAATTCTGGTCCCCCCCCCCATTCTTTAGCTTTGTCTTTTAAGAGGAATAATGACTTTCTTTATGCTTAAAAGCTAAGAATAACCAATAAAATTTAAAACATAAAAATGGGGATATATAATTGGAGAGGCTGCAAAAGAAGTATGAAATTATGTAGGTGACTCTAGCATCTTATCATCAGGTACTTACTGTGCCAAAACTGACTGAATGGTATTAGAGTCAGCCTGATATGGACCAGGCCAAGCTAGGGATACTTTAGCAGCTTCTCCTTTTCCAACAAACATGGCCAACTGTGATGATCACCTGGACCTCTCAAAATAGAAAGCAAAGGGAAAAAAAATAACCACTAGTATCAAATCACACAAAGAAAAGGAAAGAAGGGTCAAATATAAAAGAAAGGAATTTGAATTTGAATCATAGCAATGGCAGACAGACTTGACAACAATCAGCACCATCAGTAGTCCTCTGACAGCTAGGATATACGTATAGAGGCTGGTAAAAGCATAGTAGTGCTCAAATCCTCCAACTGCAGACCAAGGCCAAGTACATCAAATCTGCCCATTGCTAGAATGGTGGTAAGAGAACAAAATGAAATCAGATTTGGCAATATGTGAGAAGAGGCATGTTCCATAACAGAGGAGTAAATAGGACATGAATCATAACAGTGTTTTTCAGCTCTAACCAAACAAGAACAGATAAAATGACTTAAAAGCTCAGAATGGGAAATTGGACTAGTTTTATTATTGAGATAAATGGAAACTGATAGGGATTTCTTAGTGACTCTTCACTATGTTTAAGTTTTCTTTTAGCTAACTAGAAAAGTACTGAGGTACGCTTTTAGCCAGCATACCAGATTATGGGGGAAATAGTATATATCTTATTCCTGAAAAGAACACTCACTAACTTAAAAATCTGCAATTATTTATTTATTTTACATTTACAATATATGTAGAACTGGTAATTCCTTGGTATTTCCATCTTTTCAGTTATGCAGAAATTCATATAATAAATTTAAAAAAAAATACAAATTTAGGTCAAACAATCAGGCAAATAATGCATATTTTTATTATCTTGGTATAGGAAATATATAATTATTTCTTTCTGTTGAATTGGGTTTTGATTTTAACCCTTTGCTTTAAAGGCAGAACAGAAGATATACTTCAGTAAATTAATGAAAGCTAGGTTATTCTAATAGAAGAATTGTAAACAGGTTTTCACATTGATTGTTTGACTTCAGGTCAGTTTTTTCAACTTCACATCCATCTTTTAAAAGTTCATCAATCACACTTTACTACATTTTGATATAAAGCATGTGAACTGTTTTCAATATTTGTAATATTCTAAGAATTTTTAATTTTAGTTGATTCAAAATATGTATCTTTTTTTCTTAAAAATAATCAGAGAACAGAAAGAGAGAGAAGAAAGTGAACGGGAAGGAAAGAGCATTTTGGATGAAGAAGACTCTGAGCTTGTAACTGGAAACCCATTTCAGCCCATATCAGCTGTAATCAGTCAGGTATTGAAGCAGCCACCTGTGGAAAATGTTTGTGACAAATCAATTCATTGTTCATGAGTGCTTTAGCCAGTATTGTGGTTTTGAAACAAATTCAAATTCCTTTCTTTTATATTTGACCCCCTTTTTCCTTTTCTTTGTGTGATTTGATACTAGTGGTTATTTATTTTTTTCCTTTGCTTTCTATTTTATTTTTTGTTCCTCTTATTTAGATTTTTGTTATTAATAACTGCTATGCTTGCCTCCCTACTAGCTCCTTTTGCTTGCTTGATAACTAATTATGACATATTGGGAAATTTGAACCCATTGCTACATAATAGAGTATTTAGATAAATCTATATCAAAATTTATTTTGAGATACTTTTTAGTTTTTATATGGCTATAACTAAAGTAACTTGTATTTTTCCCAAACACACGAGAACTTCTATTTCTACTCTGGGAATGCTTCATGTAAGATAAGGCTGCACTAATGTTAGGTTGCTACTTGTATCTAGAAGGCCCTTTGGTCTCTCATGTGTTTTGGAAAAATACAAGGGATTGATTTCACTCACCTATACTAGAACTGTTCCTTCTACCTTTGATAGGTTGTTGAGATTAAGAGGCATTAAACTTTTTTGACCTTCTCTTGTACGGATACAGGCCATACACTTTGCCAGATGTGTAATCCTTTTAAATTTTAATCTTGGCTTTCTGCTGTCTTTTCTAGTACTGGCCTCCTCTAATTGTTTTCTCTGTAATTTTTTAAGCTTCCTCTAATTTTGGGCTTCTTGTTTCCATGGCTTGATTTGAACAACTACCTAGTTTTTCTATGCCTTCTTACTCCTGTAGGTGGGCAAATAATCATCAGTCTTTTCTGCTGCATAATTACTTGTCGATAGGTGGTATTTTTATATGGCTTGAATAGGACTCCACATTGCATATTGAATATGCGTAGCTAATGCACATATACAATATGCATACCTTGTTACATTGTATCAGTGTAATATTGTAACTTTTGCTTTATTACAATCTGTTATGGTAAACTTAAGTAAGTTCTTTGGACCTTTCATATAAAGCTGGTTGCTAACCCAACTTTCCAATTCCTGCTTGGGCTTTATAAATGTTGTTCTGTATCATATATTCCAAAAACTTGTCTATGTTTTTCCTTTTGTTAATTTGGGGATTTTAATATTTTGAGGCCTTTATTATGAGATGAGGAAGAAGATCTTACTCCCATTCCTGGAGTAGTTATAGCTATAATTATGTACCACTATTATTTCTTTCAGTTACCCCAAATGAATCCTCTTTTCTGATCATTTTTTCTCCAATCTGTCTTGTCTAATTTTTTGTCTAATTTCTGTCCTATTCTTGGTTTTTTTGGCATAACTTAAATACTTTTCCCCCCAAGAATTTTATTCCTCTCATAACAGGATTCGCACCACTCTCAGTGCCTTCATATTTTCAGTGGTTTCTTGTTTCTTTGCTACTACCAGAAATGAACAGATGTGTATGGACCCAGATACTATTAAGGCAAGATTAATTACATAACTAATTTTTGTATGGCAGGGCCAATTTTAAAAAATTATTTCATTAAATTACTTTTCTTTTACATTAACGGCTGCCTACTGTATCCATTGCCACCACCATATGTTGTGGTGTGGAAAAGGATAAAATAGTTCTGAACAATGCAGAGAACTGGAAGCCAAATAAAGTATATTCTATATTATAATACAATGAGTAATACAGTGAGTAATTTATTTGATTAGTGTTCAGTCGCAGTGCCCTTACCTATCCTGTATATGTGCATGTATGAGTTCTTGATTACAAGTCTAAATCAGCAATTTAATATTTATTTATATATCACTCTTAACCTCCATCCCCTTCATTGAGATAAATAAATATGCATTTATTTACAGAGCTGCCTTGAAATTCCTTAATTGCTTCAACTGTTAGAACTTTTTCAGCTGTTTCAATAGATATAGGCAATTTCTAAACCTAACAAATGGGTTTTTTATATTAATTCCTCTTTCTAGATAGCTTAGATAAACTTTTACTTGATATTCTGTCCTTAAGGATCCCCTTCCTGGAAGCAGAAGACAAAAAAAATAATTATTTCATAGTTCTAGGATTCTGGTATCTTATTTGCTTCTCTACTCTGTTACAGCTCTTGAGCTGTTTCTCCTGTAAGGATTCTTTCACCCCTGCTGTCCAATTGTTTTATCAACAAATACACTCCAAATCCTTCCTTCTAGATTCTACTTGCTGTTGCTGATATTTTCTACTGTATATATCTATTTCTTTGTGGATCTCTTCCTTCAATGTCTTTCTTGATGTCTTTGATCTTTTAATTCTTTGCTGACATGAACAACACCTCCAACTGCTTATAAAGAAATACAAAGCAGAATGCCTTTTCCTGCCAATTTTTCTCATATAATGGCAATCAGTTTCCTGATTATCAATAAAGCAAAAAAAAAAATCATAAAAAAGCATCAGTGGATCAATATTCACAAATGATTTGCATTTATTTTGGTACTTTCATTTATGAAAGGATTCCAGATGTTCAAGTTGACTTCAGAAAAAATTGAGGAAAATATGTCATATTGCTAATTCATGCTGGGTAATTGAGAGAGCCAAAGAATACAAAAAAACTATCAGTATATTTTTCATTGATTATAGAAATGCTTTTGATTGTATTGATTACTTCAAACTGTGGAATGTGTTTATAAAAATAGGAACACCAGAACATTTTATTTTCCTGATGCAAAATTTATTAAAGGGTCAGAAAGCCATATGGCAAAGCAGATTGGATCCAGGCTGTCAAAGGATGCTTTTCCCTTTTAAATAAATCAGTGTATATGCAGAGTATATATTAAGGCAAACTGGATTTGAAGAATATGAGTGTATTTTAAAACTGAAGAAACATCAATAGTGATGGCACTATTCTCATAGCTGAAAATACAACTATACATAATATATAATAATTGAACCATCAACAGTAAAGGAGTCAATAGTCAAGAAATATGCCACAGACTAACATTTGGTAGAGTAGAATCAAAAGACTTGGAAAATATATTTAGATGCCAGGATGTGCTTATAATACAACAATCAGAATGGTGCAGATATTGTTCATTGAACAGAAGAGTTTCTCATTTAAAGCAAAAATGGTCAGACTCAAATTGTAATACTTTGGACACTTGATGCAAAGAGAAGCAAAGAGAAAAGGACAGCCAGTAGCAGGGTGGTTGAATTGAATTTCAGCAGTGGGGGCAGAACATGGATGAAAGACCTGAAGGATGAAGGACCAGATTAGAGATGGTTCTCTTGGAGAAAATCTATTTACATGATTGTGAAGAGTCAATACAAACTTGATGACACATAATCAATCAAAAGATAGCAATCTTAAAGGGTACCAAGTTTTATAATTGATGTCTTTTCAATTAATTTCTTGGAATAATAGTTCAGAATTTGAAAAAAGCTGCCATGGTATCAGAATCAATATAAGTAATTAAAGGCTTAATACTCTCCACGGGGGGAAAAGCTTTATTTCATTTTTAAATCCATTATCCATTGCAATATGTCACTAAAATTGCATAGAAATCCATATGCTCATATAAACTGAACTAAGGTCATTGAGAATATTTGCACAGTAAAATTTCAAACACCTGAAATTTAAAGCAATTAAAATGTAGTTATATAAGCAGTTTTCTTAGAAGAGCTGAATATTAATTAGAGGTTCCATTATATGAAATTGAATATTATTTTATATTATTGATGATATATAATCCAGTAGGAAAGGCTAGTATAAGACATATATATTGATCATAGGCTGGCCATGATAGTGTGTGTGTGTGTGTGTGTGTGTGTGTTTGCACTATTTGCAAAGTTATTGTGAAAAAAAAAAGATCTCCTACAATTTGAAAGTGCAGTTTTATAAAAAATCTTGATTTAGTGCCTGATATAAATCCATAATAATGTATAAAACAGTTTGTAAAGTTAATGTATGAAATGTATTTCAGTAATTCTTTTAGAGTGTCCTCTGATTTGTTGTTGACATTAACTCCTCCCCAACTAACACTTGAAATGCTGCTGTAGTAAATGGCATTTTCTTCTGTATTTTGTTAGAATGAAAAGAAAATTGAAAAAGAGAAGAAGAGGCAAAGGGAAGAGAATGAAAAGATTGCTATTGCCTTGAAACCTAAAACAAATCAGGAGATAATAGATGTTCAGAGTCTGAACAGTGAGCAATCCAACGAACAGAGACTGATAGAAAACTATAAATCTGCACTAACACAACAAATGGAACACGAAGATGAGAATGATCAGCACATCTCAGAAAGTCTTGACTCTGGTGATAATGCCACTTTGAATCCAGGAACAGGTAGACTGATAAGAATTTGTAAATGCTGTTGCCAGCCAATTTCAAAAGTTCAGTTCAAAGTTTGAGCTTGGAGGGAAAGGAGAATATAGCAGTTAGGCAACCTTTTTAAAACGGACTAGGAAAACCTAATGAACTGCCAAACAATTGATAGATTTTTTTTTATTAACTGACAAACTTAAATTCCAGTAGTCTATCATGAATATATAGTCTTAACTGAACATTATGTATACATAATTAAGTAAGAACTGTGTGCTTATTACAAATAAAGTTGCATGCTCTGATTAAAATCTGTCTTTATGTAAGCACAGATGTTTTCTAATTGCAGTTCAATTTTTTCATGTAACATCAGTGGTTTTATTTATATTTGATTTAGAAAACAGTAAAAAGAAAGCAAAGAAACTAAAATTAAAAAGAAACCATCGAGTTGAACCGGTCAATACAGAGGAAATTGTTTCCCCCCTTCCTACTCCAATAGCAACACATACACCAGGTGAGTACAGTGTGCATCAGTTTTTAAAAGTTGAGGTCTTGAACACATGAATAACACAATTTCACATGAAGTATTTCAAAAGAAAAGATATGTATAGTAAGTATATGGCACTGTTAAATATTGTGATGAAAAGCCTAACAGATTTTGGGAACATAAAGGAGGCAATGAGAGAACAAAGGAGAGACAAGGGTAATGCAGAAGAAAGTCCAGGGGAAAATAAAAACATAAGAAAGAGATTTAGAGTAACTCTGCCTTAATTATACTACATATAACTTATGGGGGGAAGTTATTTTTATAAGTTTCATGATTCTGTTATATCACCCAAATTGCAATAAAGATCTTTCCAGATTATGGTTCCCAAACTCAGAAAACAAGAACCGTTTGAATTTCTGGAAACATATTTATTGCTAATAGAGTGTTATTACAGAATCTTGAAAGCTTACTAAATAATTCTCACACATAACATACATTGGTAAGGCGGTTTTACTCTGAATCTCTTTCTCATGCTTTCCTCTGTTCCCTGGACTCTCTCTGTTAGAAATGACACTGTTTATTCTCTGCTTTGTTTTTTGTAACTTCTGGGCTCCCAAGGTCTGTTAAATATTCCATCCTAGAAATTTACATGGCAAGTGAAAAAAAAAAGCCCTGGCTATATAAGAAGGAACGATGCCTTATTCCTCAAATGAATTAGAGAGCGAAAGAACAGAACAAAACTTTTACTTCCATTGGAAACGAAACATATTTTCGTCTCATTTTATTGTTTATTTTTTTTGGGGGGGGGGGGGAGACCTTTATAGAATATTGTTTTATTTGTTTGTTTATTAAATGTTATGCCTTTATCCACATCTGAGGGATAAATTTTCAATATCAGAGTCTTAATCCTACGCAAATTAACTTCTACCCCAATATGTCTACCATGCACATCAGTAATAAAAGTTCTGGTTTTATTAGTAGCTTGAGATTTTCTCCATGTACATAGATGAATATTTGCTTTATCAGAATTGTTGATTATATAATTACTGTTTGATATATGTATATATTTTTGCAGTTGGATGGGAAACACCAAAAGTTAACAGAATTCGAAAACTTGACCCCCTTGGTGAAACTCATCATAATGGTAATTTCAGAGGAATTTGACCTTAGCAACATATATTTTATTTTGCATATTGGCTTATTTCTTTCATTTTGAATAATTTGGTGCTTCTTTAAGAACAATCCATAATTTTCACTCCTTGTTTTTCTCTTTAACTATATGTAAATGGAATCTTGTTAATAATTTTATTTCATTGTCTTTGCTTCAGGACAAATCTGTTGCTTATTGAGGTGGTCATGTAGTTATATATTGCTCACAGGGAAAAAATAGAACACATTAAAGTGCATAGGATCATATCCATGCAAGGTCTGCTATGAATTGCTATAAATAGATTTTAAGAAATATCGAAGATCACACATGAAATAGGAGAAAAGTATCTTCTGAGCAGACAAGCATTCACACAATCTTTATTCTTTCTCTTCTTAATGCCTATAAATATTGAAACTTAAACACAGTTAATCAGTTGCTGAATTTTAAAAGGTTCAGTAGAAGGGGGGATTTTTATGAGTTAATTAGGCAGAAAGCCACTGTGTGCCTAACTTACTTATGTGAATATATAGAAAGGATTTGTAAGTACATAGAGTTTTTATTATCATATGGTTTTCTAAAATATAATTTTGTTATTAATCTTTTTAATAGCACGTGGAAGGTTTTAGTTCTTTTCTAGTAGATTCTGATTTATAATAACCTCTTCACTGAGGATAAGAGTTATTGTTAATAAGTATTGTTTCATTTTCAAAGTATTTGTATCATTTTAGGTAAATACTTGTAAAACCATTGGAAATGTTTTCTGTTTTGACAAGATGGCATTGTTCAGTGATAGAACATATGTCATATATATGGTTGCTGTTCAATTCCAGGACCTCTAAAATGATCTTGAGCAATAACACTGAAAAAGACTAATGCCTGGCATGCTGGTTTGATCTGCTTCTCAGAGCATGTAATATTAAACTAGATCATAGTTATCCAACTTTCTCTAGCTAAGGGCTATATTTTACCTTTGAATGGAATACCTAAGGTCATACTTCAAAAAAACAAAAGGACACAGTTAGACAAAAACTAAATTTTATTTCAGCTATGGTTAAATGCATTTAAAATTAGTTAATTAATTGCAGTTAACATGGTGAGCTCTATATATTTCATTTTCCCCCCTTCTTTTGTATTAAAATTTATGAAGTAGCAACTTTTGGAAGAGTTGTAAAATGATAACCAAGATGTTCAAGTTTTGCTTCTCTAGATTAGAAAGATGTATGGAGAATTTATACATTCATAAAATCTATATTTTGTACATAAATTGATTTCCTTTGTAATAGACAACAATATAATTTTCAACAGTTTGTTTACTATCCATATTTCTTTTTAAGGAGTATAAAGAAAAGAAAATGAGAGAAAGGACAGAGAAAAGAGGTAGGGAGGAGAAGGGCCATGTTATCTGATTATAATCTTTTTGCTCTTAACTATGGGCCTGATTGTAACTGGAGTTAAAAGTTGTCATTCATTGTACAATATTTTTCTTAAAAAGTGGCATAGAATTATTGTTATGCAAGAAATAGTTCTGATTGCAAGTTGTAAATCAAGTTTCTGAAGCTGTACAGATGAGATATTTCCTATAAGCTTTGATTTTAACTCAAAGAATACAATTGCTTATAATTTTGCACATACTTCTTTCAATTCTTGTATTTCATTTGAATACATGGCAACTTTAATTTGAGATGGTGAAAGAGATACATCACTTGAGTACTGTTTATCTGGATTTATTGGGATTATTATATACCACTGACTCTAGTTTAGAAACTAAAGTGAATAATTACTAGAATTTTAGAATTTTAGTTCATAATTGCACTTTTCTATAATTTAGGCCTTTAAAAAAAAGGACAAATATTCCCAAAATTTTATTCTTCCTTAAGTATTTTTCTATAGTTTTATAGTTTTCTATAGTTTTATAATTCTTTATGTTGTTTTTAAATAAAATTATATTTAAGTTTAGATCAGCTTTTAAGTGAAGTTGCATTCCTTGACCAAGAGATCAATTTCAGCCATGAATCTTTAGAAAAAGGAGAGGCAGTTGGGAAATTCTAATCAGGCAGGCAAAAGGAACAGGGCAATTTTCAGGAAACTATAGTGGGGAAACAGCACAATGACCCCTTACCTCCAGAATATTAAATATCAGGATAAATCTAGCAACAGAATAGGGGAGCCACAATTCCAAATTCTAGAATTATTAGATACAGGTAATCTTCCCTAAAGAACTGCAACTTTATCATTAAGCAGTGTAACATCATGACTGCACCTGACATGACATCAGCTTTGCTGCAGTCATTAAGCAAATCACCCAAGGTTAAATGTGATGTCACTTGATTGTGATTTGCAACTTACTGCCAGCTCCCCTGTTAACCTTGTTTGTCAGAAACTGGCTGTGATGGTCACAATGGTTATTTTATGGCCATGAGACACTGCAACAATTGTAGATGTATGTCAGTGGCAAAGCATATCAGTTTGACTGCAGATACCGGGACGGCCATAAGTTCCAGTCATATGTGTCAGCTGTGAAAAGGCAAAATCATTAGAAAAGAGACTGAAAATAAAATTGAAAACATTGTCATTCCTTTATAGTAATTTGGTCTAGTTGCATCTGGAATACTGTGGAGAATTTGGTTGGCACATTTAAAAAAAAGACTATAATATTTTCTGGGAAAAGTGAAGATGATGGCAATCAAAACTACTAGGCTCTTGAACACCTTCCTTATGAGAAAATGTAGAACATTTTTAGCTTAGAGAAAGTGACAGGGGAGTAAGTGACAGGGGAGTAAGTGACAGGGGAGTAAGTTAACAGTTGAAGTATATAATAATATCATGCATGGGGTGGAGAAAGTGAAGGGGAGTTTTTCTCCCTTTATTAAAACCTTAAGTCTGGGAATCATACTGTGAACCTGACTGGAAGTTTTGGAAAAAGTACTTCTTACACACAACACATGACAAATTTTTGGAATTCAGTATTGCAAATGTGATGTCCAGTAATTTGAGTGGCTTTTAAAGGGAGTGGATTCAAACATCATGAAGGACAATGCTATCAAGGGCCATTAGCTCTGAAGACTAAATGTTATCTCTCAGCTGGTGGTGCATGCTTTCAAATACAAGTTGCTGAAGAGCATCAGCAGGTTGATTGAATGTCTCTACCTCCTGCTTCTATGCACTGCAGGAGCATAGGTTGGCCAGATAAACAAAATGCTGGACTAAGAGAGTCTTTGGTCTGATTCAGCAGTTCTCTTCTATAAAAAAGGATCTTTTTGTTTTAGAATATTATTCTTGTAAGGATTTGTAACCAAATTAGTTGTATTATGTAATCCAACTCTTCACTTGAAGTATTTTTGATTTATAGAAAATATATAGGAAATATTGTATTAATACCATACAAAATAAATAAAAACATATCTTAATACCTTGCAACAGGTTGAAATTGCATAGGTTTTCCCTCTGTAGAGCTTAAACAGTATTAACAGATAACATTAATTATCCATTTACATCTGGAGAGGAAGGAGTTTTGATAAACTAAAGCAAAATATGATGTTTCAATAGATAAGACTTACAAATCTATAGTCAGCACAGCTAAAAGTAAAAAAAATCCTTAAAAACTGGTGAATATAACCAGTGTAACGTCCTGTTCTGTCTCCTCTGAAAGGATCCAGTATCTTTTTATAGCTTTATAATTTTGCATATTCTAAGCCTGCCTGATGTATGTCTTTTAATTTTTTTTAAAAAAAATGGATGTTTCTGTTCTGCTGTAATGTGGTTTAGTAATTTGATATTTGTCTTATTTTCCTCTTTGACATTCTGCTTATATTAAAAAATACATTGTCATAAAAATCTTAGGATATTTGGTTTCGGAACTCTGTGCAATCTGCTATTCACACCTCCAAATCACTGATGTTTATATCTACTTTAAATCCTCAATGTTGGTTGGGGAAATAGGGAAAAAGAAGAGAAGTCAGATGCTTCTTAATAGAAATAATCCTCTGAAATTATTCCTTTTATTTTCTGTATTCTGACTGATTTGATCAATTTATTTATTTATTTTATTTATTTTATTTAATTTATATGCCGCCCTTCTCCCGACAGGGACTCAGGGCGGCGCACAACATATTTAAAACCAGAACATATATACAATCCCCCCCTTAAAACCAAATTAAACCGAATTTTAATGTTGCGTCTTCCGAATATTTAAAACCCAATGTAAAATCCACCCTAGGTCAGGTCCGCTTGCTGGAANAGCACAGCTAAAAGTAAAAAAATCCTTAAAAACTGGTGAATATAACCAGTGTAACGTCCTGTACTGTCTCCTCTGAAAGCATCCAGTATCTTTTTATAGCTTTATAATTTTGCATATTCTAAGCTTGCCTGATTTTTTTTTAAAAAATGGATGTTTCTGTTCTGCTGTAATGTGGTTTAGTAATTTGATATTTGTCTTATTTTCCCCTTTGACATTCTGCTTATATTAAAAAATACATTGTCATAAAAATCTTAGGATATTTGGTTTCGCAACTCTGTGCAATCTGCTATTCACACCTCCAAATCACTGGTGTTTATATCTACTTTAAATCCTCAATGTTGGTTGGGGAAATAGGGAAAAAGAAGAGAAGTCAGATGCTTCTTAATAGAAATAATCCTCTGAAATTATTCCTTTTATTTTCTGTATTCTGACTGATTTGATCAATATATTATCTATGAAACATAAGGTGGATTGAGAGTGGCAGTAACAGGGATTTTATATATATAAAGAATATTAGCCATTTGGTATCAGTTAACTTAGATTGTTCTTATTATATTTAACTAATAATTCCTTCTTTTTTCAACATAATTAATTTGTACCAGTTGGGAACAAGGTCCTCTATATTTGTTTGTATGTCTAGGATTAGAGTAGTTGTGGGTGAGTATTTGTAATTCTAAAACTGTTTTTTGAGTGTTTAATGTTTCTCTTTTTCAAGTCATTCTGAAAATAAAAGTACAGCCAGAAGGAATGACAATTATTTTTTAAAAAAAGACTGAAACCGATAAGCATGTATTTTTCAGTATATAAATTTTGCGCAAGATAGAATTGTAATTATCAGATGAAACCTAAAGATTTCTATATGCATATAAAATCAGAGAATTCCATGCCTTTTTTTCTGTTCAATTCAAAATAGTTGGGTTAATTGTTAATTTGGTTTCTTTTCTAATTTGCTTTAGATTTCTATGGAAAGCCATTGCCACCACTTGCTATGCATCAAAGACCTAACAGCGATATGCATGGTGTCATTTCTTAACTAGTCATCATTTTGCAGCTTTCAAGAGGAATCTAAAATAACATTACATTAGACATTGCTTTCTTTTTTGAAGAGATACCTGCTATTCCTATAAGTTGCTGGGCAAGGCACCAAGATTACATTGGGATTCCTGGTAAGGATGTTACTTCTAAAGGTTAACAATTCTGCTTCCTCAATTTACCAGCTGCTCTTCAAAGTTGACATGGAACAAGAAAACTCACAAGCAGAATTCTTGCAAAAGAAATGACAACCAAACTCAACTTGGTTATGCATATACATGCTTTCAGTTTGGCTAAATATTTTTCTATATTCAACTCTTCAAGAGTTTTTTTAAAAGTACACGCATGTTCAAAAGGGGAAGATGTGAATTATACATTTAAACATTTTGATATATTTTTATAGTATTTTATTTGTTTTTAAGAAATTATTTGGTCAGCAGAACTATTTTGACATACTAAAATGCCTACCTATATTCATAAGTATCTACTACATTTTTTTTGGGAAAAGCAATATATTTGTGTGTGATTTGAATCACAGTTTGCCTAATTGTTAATTATGTTGTTTTATCTTGTTCCTGATCCACCAAAAAGAAATATGTGTTGGAAGGAAACTATATTCATGTTTTCCTTGATGGGAAACAGCACTTCTGGCGTTCATTGTGACCATTAATTTTGTGTTCTTGCAGCTAGAGGGAAAGGGAACTTTTTGACTTTCCAAAGGATATAAATAAATATCCTTCAATTACTGTATAGAGTTTGATATTCATGGCCACTTCTCTTGCAGTACTTATTTCATTTTGGGAAGATGTGAACTTATGAATTGGAGAACTAGGGCTGTGGTTCGCTTTAAAGTAAGCAGAAGTAGAATTGAATTACATCTCCTTTCACCAAATGTAACAAATGTATCTTCTCCCAGGCTTATGTGGCAAGCTTAGCTGTTTTAAAGAGTAGTAGGCAGATGCAAAGTTCATATTCCTGCACAATTCAAGCCACGTTTTTGGCTTTGAATTCAAATTTTTACTTCATTCATGCAAACATATTTCCCTATTAGGTTGGGGTTCCATATATGCTGAAATAAATGAAAATGTTTATATAAAAAGGTATCTTTCTCCCCTGAATATTTATTATGGCTTCAGTTATTAATAATTGAAAATAACATTATTCTAACAGTGAACATTTCTAAAAATATGTAAATGCCTTTCTTTAAAAAAAAACATTACAGTCCAATTTTTACTTCCTTTTTCTTTATTGCATATTAGAGGTAAATGATCAGAATTTCCATATGATCAGAGGTTTTTCTGTATCCTCAGATAGTGAAGTAGTTGAATGGCTTACAAATAGCATAAAGCCTTAATACTAAACTGAAAAGTCTGTGAATTGTAATGAGGTTTGAAAATTCTTACCTTCTAGCAACATCGTATTCAAAAGCTTCTGTTTCTTTGCAGTTTAAATTAATGCTTTTATTCTGCTTGATGATAGTAATGGCCATGTCATGAAACTGATCGTTTGAATCCTTTCACACATGATCTGTATCTATCCTAAAGTCATATAAAAAATAGTCTCATAAACTTAGTTGCATGCATACAAGCTGAATGAGCTTGCTCTTGTAAAGATTACTTTCTGGCTAATGTAAAAGGTGGTGCATAATTCATGGTACATAATTATTTCCATATATAGTTTCAATATTCCTGATTTTTTAGGTTATATACAAAAATGGAAGTTTGTTTTCCATTTCCCCCAAGAAGTTAAATGTTCTTTTCTTTTAACACTGAAAACTGTTAAGGATTGTCCTACTTTCTTGAAGCTCAAAAACATTTTTTCCTCTCAAGGCTTATGCAATAGGACTTTCTCCTTACCCATGCTGTATTCTTCCCTACCTCCAGTCCTCAAAATCTGTTTCAAATAGATGATTTTCTGTCTGGAGAAGATTTTGAGGGCAATAGGAATAATTATTTACCTTCTATTTTATCAGTGGAAATAGATTCAATAATGAAGCATATTCATGGGATTGTTGTTACAAGATGCATAAGTACTAGGAATGTGTTTTTAACATGCTGACTTTCCTTTTATTATGGATTATTTATTGAATATGCATTTAATGTTTTTATGTATGAAATAAAGATACACAGAAATGTGATTTAATATTTCATCATACAATTCACTTTATCTGGAACACAGCTTTTATTTTTTTTAAATTATCAGAAAAGGTTTTAAATTATCAGTTGAAGTTTTTCCCAAAACATTTGAGCACAAGATTAGATAGAGTAAGACTTTTGCTTCGGAAATTATTTTAAATAAATATTTTAACTCTTGTATGAGCACATTACTTCTCCATTGTTCATTAAACCAACCTTCTTCATTTGATCCTGGGGGAAAAAGCAGGGCTTTAAAGAGTTGACACTGTGAAAAGTTGCAGCAGCTTTAAGGAGTCAGTTCATTGAAGTTAATGTACCTTAAAGCAGCTACTACTTTTTCTAGGCTTGCACAGCCCTAATCTAGAGCGAGAGTTAGCAACGTGAAGTCTTAACAGCTTTTGGATTACAACATCTTAATACCTACAAAGCAGCAGGTTGCTTATCTCTGCTGTAGAGTCCGGATCTAGCATATCCTATTGTTACTTAGCAAAATGTATCAGTTTGAAAAACCACAAATCTGCTTTTTAAATGCAGATGCACAACTCACAAACCTAACATCAGCTAGTTGGGCATCATCCAGTCCATTACTTTGTCTAGATGCTAGTTCAGAATATCAATTGCCTCACCTGTGTTAGGTAAAATGGAGAGGTAGAACTTGGTGTTATTCATGTATTTTGGGCATCTCAGCCTACATCACATCTCCCAGCAGTTCAGTGTAGATGTTAAAGAACATAGGAGATAAAATGGAGCCATGAGGGAATTCATAGCCATAATTCATAAAAATGAATATAATGCATGGATCCTCATGATTCTGATTTTTACACAGCATTCACATGAAACTACCATCAATCAGATCTCTGCACTCACTGAGCCATTACAGTTCTGGCACCAGCTGGTTTTGATGCCCTGGCCTGAGAGGATTCATGGATTTCATGGATTGAAATTTCATGGATTCCACCGAAATTTCCATTCAAATGAAACCACAATCACATGTAATTAATCTGCATAGAATTAGTCATAAAATAAATGTCAAAAACTAATTTTACAACTGATTATCCTATGATTTGCTTCAAGAAATCCTTTGGAGCTCATTTCCCTACGTTCATTTTGAGAACTCTCAAGTATTCTGTGTCCTATCCCATTCCTTAAGGAGCTTGGGCATTTCTCCAAATGGAGAATTACTGACCAGCTAACAAAATCAGTGGTCAAACTATAAACATTTGTTATTAATGTCACCCAAAAATGTACATTTTAGATGGGATCCAACTAAAACTTTCAAATTGCACATAACATCTGTCTGTGGCCAATGAATGATTTCTGATACCCTTGTGAGGCAAACATGTAAAACTGAGGTTTGGACCCTATCAAGTTATTTTTTTTCACTGAGTATATCTGCACTAATTGCTTCAAAATGGCGTAAAAATATAGACCCAAGACACCGATCACTGTTTTTTAAGATTCAGAAGCAATTATTAGACGCCAACGAGGAGCAGTGAAGTATAAGGGAAATTCAGCCTGTAGTCTACCTTCAACTAGAGAAGCTCTCTAGTACTGGGGTAGGCAACCTTGGCTCTTTTATGACTGGTGGACTTCAACTCCCAGAATTCCTGAGCCAGCACTAGTACCATTGAGCCAGCCTATGTTACAGGATGGTTGTGAGGGAAGACGGAAGGGAATACTATGCAATTTGCCTTCAACTTTAGATCAGAGAGTAGGAGATAAAAATGAAATACTTTTCTAGCATTAGTAAGAAAAACTAGATGAGCTGTCCTCTTAGTAGGAATTAAGGGATCCTTGGTTTTTCAGTAAAGCATCAATTATGTTTGAAAAAAAAATACTGGCAAGCAAAGATCAGATTCAAGTAGATCCTGTTTTCAGATGCTAGCTTTTCATTTATATACTGCGCTCCCGATCCACAGGAAGTGTTAAAAAGTTAAGAACTAGCTACGTTCCAGCCCGAATTTCATCCAGCCTAGTCCAAGGGTAGGCAACCTCGGCTCTTTTATGACTCATGGACTTCAACTCCCAGAATTCCTGAGCCAGCTATGCTGGCTCAGGAATTCTGGGAGTTGAAGTCCATGAGTCATAAAAGAGCCGAGGTTGCCTATCCCTGGACTAGTCAAATGCCATTGCGCCACGAGCCGTTGCCAGTTCCTCCCCGGCAGGAGGCGCTGTTGCGGTCCCCTCTTCCCCTCTCGGCCGTGACTCGATTTTCGGAGGCTCTTCCGCCGGCCCGACTAGGGAGAAAAAGACAACATGCCCGCTGCTTCCAACGTTGAGCATGCTTTTGCGGGGAATGCTTCGGGCAAATTTGCTTGCCGCTCACCGACACAGAAAGGAGCAGTATTCCTCGGCGAGGAGCCAGGTGAGTGCGAACCGGTTGAGAAGACCGAACTTTTGCTTCGCCGCCGTTTTCCCGTCTTTTCCCAGAACGCTCAAAGTCGACTTAAGTGGGTAAAGTGGAATTATAGACCCCCGCGGGTATCCTAGCGACTTGGAGATGGAGATCTCAACTAGCTTTGCTTCGCCAATGCAATCAAGAAGGAAATTTAGACCTCATTTCCGGTGTTAATGGAAAGGTGCGTTTTTCTTTTCCTCTTCGTCGTCGGGATAGAATGGGGTTCCGGACAGTTTCTTGCGGAAAACAATAGAGCAGGGGTAAGTCAACCTTGGCTCTTTTATGACTCGTGGACTTCAATTCCCAGAATTCCTGAGCCAGCTTAGCTGGCTCAGGAATTCTGGGAGTTGAAGTCCACGAGTCATAAAAGAGCCAAGGTTGACTACCCCTGCAATAGAGCAAAAATGCCTGAGTTTTAGGCTTTTTCTTCTCACTTTACCTACAAAAGGCGTAAGTGATGTGAGTGATCCCTGTTGCAAATAATCTGCCCCCGGAATCAAACTATTTTAGAGATATTTGCAGGTTGACATATAACTTGCATACTTGGTATTTATGCATGTCTCTTTCTCTCCCTCTCTCATGCCACATCAGAAAGAGTCCCCATCAGAAACAAAGCTTCAGAAGCAAGCGTGCCAGGTTGTTCTCAATCACTTCGAGAAACAGTACTCTAAAGACTTGGGAGGAACATGGAATTCAGTCAGGTTAATTTCTGTTTTCTTTTCTTCCTACTCTTTCCTCCCGACCCCAATCCATATTTTTTTTTAAAA